ATATTCTTCTCACCATTTCTTAAATATATTCAGCCATAACAATCTACTTTTACTTTTGTTTTCTTTTTTTGAACTGTTAAYTATTTCTTCGATAGTAAAATCCGAAAAAATATTTGCTTAAATACCTAAGATGAAATGGCTGTCATTTTTTACCTCGATTTGCTTTAATCTTTCCTCAATTTTTTTTATCTGTCATCTTATCGGCTRAAATAATTTTCTATTGTTTATTATCCAATCAAAAGCAAGATTTTTGGTTTGTATTTTGCACTGCGTTACACTTTTAAGCACTGTATTAAACTTTTCTGCATTGAATTACACTTTTTTGCATTGTASTAAGTTTGGACAACACTGAATTAAGCCAATCAGAATTGAGTAATTTGTTCATGTATACTATTACTATACAAATCAAATTATTAACAAATTGATTTCCGACCTAATATAATATACATGAAAAACATTCTCAATGCTGATTGGCTAAGAGTAGTGCTGCTTCAAGGAAATACAGTGCAGAAAAAGGTAATACATTGCAAATTTCTTACAGCATTAAGCATTCTGATTGGGTAACAAACAATTCAATGACATGCAAAAATAGCCAATTACCAATGGCCTACAAAGCAGTGRAAAATTAAACAAAAAGATTCAGGCGAAATTGCAACAGAAAATTTAAAAAACCGTCCTTTTTTCACGAGGGTAGCACTTAATAGCCAGTGGCTAACAAACCTGAGGCCCTCATTCCATGATGRAATTGGAATTTAGGAGTTGATTTTWGGGGAGGGAGGAAAACCGGAGAACCCGGAGAACGCGGAAAACCCTCGAAGCACAGGAGAGAACCAACMAACAACTCTACTCATATACAACATACGACAGAGGAGCTCAAAAAACGTATAATAATGAAAATCTATCCAAAAGTTCATCATTCTGGTTCATTGTATGGAAGAAATGGTGGAAAGAAAAGACGTAAACGACAAAATCCAGAAAAAAGATCGTTTCATCCTTATTTGAAATATAGCTATATATTGCTATAGAAAAAAAGAAAAAAAAGTACACGAGAAATAAATAGCCTGCGTGCAGCCGACTAACTGCAACTAACTGTTAAGTCCGTCTGCGAACCAGCGACAGCTTTCTTGTTCCGTTAGCCCCAGCAGCGTACCTGGATTTCAGTACGCATTCTGATTCGCTCTTTCTTATAAGTTTGCTGATTGGCTMTAAWTTTTTAAGTCTCTACTCAAATTTCAGGCTAGTTTGTTTATATGACTTCACCTTAGATGGTAAGACTCAAATTTATGTCTCGTTYATTTCTAGCAATAATGATAATTTGTATTTTATGTCYTCGAGAGCTATCAAAGCACCATGTTTGTTATCTTGTAGAAGGAAAGTCAAAGTTAAATGTGAAGTTGTGAGTTGGAGATTTATTTTCAATCGACAGAGCGAGTATATAATTTAAGTCGTCTTTCAAACGTTGTCGAAAAGACGAAGTTTAATCAAACTGCAACACAAACTTGAAACTGAATTGCGTGACATAAATAAATGGAATACGTTGCCTGATGAGACAAAAGAGCTAAAGAGGGGAACAGAAGAGGATATGAAGTGTGTAACCCCCCAAAAAAGTCGTATCGAGGGGACTAGCGAAGATAATACGTCATGATTCTTTTTCACTTTCATGAATCTTTTTCACTTTCCTTTTTTCTAAGTAATAAATAAAATAATAATAATGAGTAAATAAGGAACAAACAAGGGGTCTTGGTTTTCAAAAGGTGTATATTTCTGAAAAATAAACTAAGATAATTTTGCTTTGTGTATTTGCTTTTAGACATCTCGTGGAAGAGCTTGGAATCCAGCATACCGAATGGACTTTTGTAGAGCCAAGTTTGCATGAATCCAGAGAAATCAAGTCAAGCAATCTTGAAGATATTAGAAAAGGCTACCCATMTCTCCTTGCACACCCTGTATTTGGTAACATGACGAGTAATGAGTTGAACAGCTATGCTTACAGTCCAGAAAACGTTGCAAAGGCAGATCAATATGCCACTGTCTCAACTTACTTTTCCAACATCATCACTCCTGAAGGAGCAAAGTACCTTTCGGAGCTGTACGGCTACAAAGGAGACTTTACTGAATTTATCAGCCCAAAGGGTTACATTGAATTCAGTGAGGTGTCCATGCAGCTGTCTGATGAATATGTAAGACCAAAAGGTGGTATGTCATCCATCATAGCGAACCTTCAAAGAAAGGTGGAAAATATGGGTGGATATATCTTTACCAATACCGAAGTAAAAGGACTGTTGAAAAAAAGAAATGGATATGTGTTAATTTTACCCCATACTAGGGTCAAATCAAAGAAACTGATCCTGGCCGTCAATCCTGAACACCTAAAGAAGATCAAAGGGTATGTTGCAAGAAAGATCCAAGGGGATGACCGTTTACACGCGATTCAGCCTGTTCCAGCATTCAAAGGAGCAGCGGTTTACGAAAACGCTTGGTGGGAGAATCTAGAAGTTGCAGGGACACCTGTTAAACCTGGGCAAAAGTTTATATCTTACAGCAATTGTCTGGGAACAAGTATGGCACATAGGTAAGAGTCGAAAAATACTTTTTAGACATGATTTTTAATATTCGTTTTMTTAACGATTGGTGCCAAGTCAGCAACCTTTACAAGTTTATTCGATGTCGTGCCTCTTTTAATTCTCCTATATATATATACACTGCGGTTTGCATAAACTTTGACCATTCATATATATATATA